GTCTGGGTTCTCCCATAAAAAAAAAAAAAAAAGGAAAAAGGAAAGCAGGGAGAGCAAGAAACAGGTGTTTGGAGTTTAACGGATTGAGTAACCGAAAATGAAGGTGTGTAACGGAGGGTGTAAACAGTGAGGGTAAATGTATCACAGTCCTATTATAAAACCAGACTACAGAACTATACCTTGAATACTCATTGCTCCTATAAAACAATGAGGGAATAGAAGATTATTACCAATGATCAATTAAAATACAAACTAGCATGAGAACAAGAGAATAGTTTTTTCCTCCTTGAAGATATCTTATGAAGTTAGTAATTAGAATCATGATTGGTGAAAGATGCATGCAGAACATACACTGAATCAAGCAAGTATAGGAAGTTTTCTGCATAACAAAGATTACTGGAAGGGACAACTGGAGGCCTTCCAGCCATCCTTAGATAAGCTGTGGCAGCAATAGTAGGCGCTTGAAAGAGGTGGCCTCGGAAAACACAAAGCTGCAAGAGTTGTCCATTAAAAAATATTGAATAGGATTTAAAATGTAAATACAAACATTTCCAAGAATACATGCTTTTTTTTTGTCTATTACTTGTTTTGACCTGTAGATATCTTGGCCCTACAGTTGTAAAAAATATACGATTGAATCATGAAAAACTTGTAGAGCAGAAGAATGAGTATAAATTTTTATAAGTTCTAAAACAAGATTGATGACACAATATAAGCCAGTCACTTAGAAGTGCCGCTTTCTTTGCCGCATCTATCTTGTAACTTAAGTGGTCTTCCAATTAAACTGAAATGGCCATCACACAATTATTGTTGGTCCAAAAAAGTCACTCAAACACTGGAAGTAGCAACTCTCAACTAGTCAATGTTTTATTCCATAGCACTTCAATATCAAAAGTGTTTCAATGATTATCCCCAAATAAACAACTGATGGTTGTGATGGAGTAACTCAGAAAGTCTAAACCTTTTTTCCAGAAAATCTATAACCGGTCAACCTAAAAACCTGAACATTTTTCAAGAGTTGGCTTAGAGCTTGGCTAAAACTACATTTTCCATTGGGAAAACCAAAGCAATTGCTCAAATTGAATTGAAAATTCAGTCGCATAGAAATCCAATTGCATAGAAATCCCATAGCACCAAACCCATAATAAAAAGATCATTTCACAGAATGCATACTTTCGGTTATAATCTATGACGTGGTATATTTCAATTTTCAGAGGTTTTATGTGTCATTATCAAAATTAAATCAATGACTTACCTTGAGAGCAGGATTTGCATCCGGTTGAAAGATGGGGAGAGCACTCATTTCACTGACAAGAACACCCATTGGGCGTGTGCCATGAGGCATTGACTGTATTATATCCTACAAAAACGGGGATAACCAGATACAGCTGCTCAGAACTTCTATTAAACCAGCAGGAGAGCTGATACCCATTGATGTTGGGAAAGAAAAAGAAAGAAACACAGTTATATATCATTTCCTTCTAGGTTTGCATGACAAGGCCTCAGTTAACTCATAAACTTAGAACTATTGTGAAATTATTTAATCCAAAGACGAGTATGATGAGGAGACATATTTATTACCACATTTCAAGTAGTATGATAAGGAAAGAAAAGCACACCAATATCCCTTGTGGCACCGCTGAATGCTGAGAAACAGCAAAATCCCAATCAGCCAACTGACTTTCAGAAGGCAAATTTCCATACACAAAAACAAAATGAAAACTACACATTAAATTGCAGAAACAGGATGTGCAAGTAGATGATTACATATAAACCTGGATTAATTCTTCAGGAGAAAACACCTAGTAGAATTTCTTAAACAAGGAAAAAAGTGAGGGAGAAAAAATTATTGATTCTATCATCTCTGAACTCGACACCCATTTGCCCTTCCGTAATTTAAAAGCTATGGTTTTGTATCTGGGATTTTCCTTTCTGTCTTTCATATTAGATTGGGTTTTTATGGTCAGAAGGGCTGCTCAAATTACCAAAATGCCTTTAATAACACCTTCTGAATACGTGGCTTAAATTTAGATTCTAAATATATAACTTAATTTTGTTATCAACAACTATCTAGTTGTTGATATAAATGTGTGCCTATTTATCTTTTTGAGTTTGCTTTTTTTGAATAGATGAATATGAATGGTATGATGATTGTAACTTTATTAAAATTATACATACTGTGATTTTATTAAAATTGTCAAATATATATTATGTCTTAGTTGATTATTAGTTAGTAATGCAGGCATCACTCTTTCCTCTATCCCTTTACCATTTTTTCTTCCCCAAGATTTTGTTTCCTAGTAGCCTAACCTTGTGAACTTCTTGTTCTTCTAATTTAAAAATAAACTTTAAAATGTTGGTCCATTTTTCTTTTTCTTCATTGATTCCTCTCAATAAAATTTGCTATCTTGCATTAAGTTACTTATGGATGTATGCATGTAGTCCGAGTACATTTTGGGATATGAAGAAAAGAATGTTATATCATTGCATATCCCAAAAGCCATGTTCTATTTGATTAAATGCTCACATTGATTTAAGTTCTGTTATATATCTATATTGATATAAGTGTAATGAAGGAAGAGGAAAACAAAGTGAGATTCTTCCTTTAAAAGGCTAAAACCACGCTATCTAACTCTTTGGTAAAATATTGCAATTCTTGGTCATGACTTCTTCTCCAGTTCATTTGAGGGGTTTTCTTTGTTTTTTTATGTTTTTGATAGACATGTGTAAAATGAACTGTGATTTGTTGCTGTTGCAGTATTCATGGATATCACGTCTCAATTCTGAGTCTATCTTAAGATTTGGCACCAGGATGCCGTTGATCTTGTTGAACAGCTCCGCTACAGCTTCATCGGTTCCTAATCCGTTGTGCAGCACGCCTGCATCTCTCAGTTCCTTCACATGCTCCCCATTATCAATTACATAGTCGAGGAATGACAAGTGCGAGGTAATCTTGCAACCTTCTTTGAAATCCGGACACAGCTCATATGCCATCAAATTCAGCAACAATGGAATGGTGGTATTGTGCAAAAAAATGGGAGCCAGCGTAAGGGTTGGCATGCAACAATGGTCATTGAAATCAATGTCTGTGATGGCACCTCCCTTTTCCATCGCTTTAAAACGAATACCCTTGTCTTTCAGTTCCTTTACGTTGCGAATTTAGGGCCAGTGTTCGCTTTCATCACCAGGCCGTGTCTCCCACCAACGACCTTTGTAAATCCGTTTTTGTTTCTCAGCCTTCTCTTTCGATTTGACTCCCATCAGTCTTCTTCGCAACAAGTCTAGAAGATTAGGAGGGTCTTCTTCTTCTTGTTGTTGTTCATGAGGATGATAAGACTGAGAATAATCAACCTGAATTTGGTGTTGTTGCTGCGCAGTCGGACTCAAGAAACTCCCATTGATGAATTTGGTGATGAATTGCTCGGATAACTCCTTAAGATTAATTTCTATTGATGCTATACTATACCTGAGGCTTCAGCGAAGGAGTCTATCAATATCTCAAGAAGTTGGTAGGGCAGTTGGTTCTCAAGCAAGAAAAAATCATTCTTCTCAATGCTGACTAGATCATTATCAACGCTGAAATCCTCCAACGTATCGTCCACATCAAGGACTATGAAACCCAACAATGCACAGCCATCCACTAGGAACATCTAGGCCAAGTCCTTATCACTCCATTTCTCTACTTCTTTTAAGTTATAGCAGTTCCTCAAGCTCTTTATCTTCTTCTTGACATTCCTGTAGGAATCTTTGGTCGTGCCGTTGCTATTTTGGATGAACACTGCCGCTAGTTTTAGCTTGCACTCCTCACCTCTTTTGATTCTCGAATCTTTGTCAGTCTTTCTTTCTTGGTTAAGGGGACCGATCACAACAGAAGTTGGTTTGAAATATCGTTCGCAATCCTCCTTACCGTAGCACGAGCGCAAGATTTGCGGAACCATCTGAATTAATGGCTTGTTTGAGGGAAATGGAGCTTCATCGACTTTGTCCAATAACTTAAATTTCTCAATCTCATCGTCGGAGAGTGTGATCTGTATTTCATCATGGGCCATGTTGTGCAAGACAAAAATATATATTACATGAAAGATTCCTCGGTAACCTTATTATGCTTCTATATTAAAATTGAAATTTTAAATTTACTACTTTACAATGATAACACGTTTGTCTTATGGTTCACTCCTTTCGGTTATTTCTCATTATGTAGAAGTCTGATGTAGCACAACCAATTTCCACAATCCTTAGTGGATCAAAGTACCTACTCTGGGTTCAAGGAATGTGTAGTTTCTTGAAGAGACGAAAATTATGACAATATAAGTTAGGTGATATTAAACCACCAAAGGAAGTTGCTGGTGAGGCAGATAAGAAATTTGCGGAACACTTGGAGGACTAGGATAGCAAAAATCATTAGATAATTATTTGGTTACGTAACTCCTCCATTCCTTCCATCCACCTTCAGCTTGGACAGTATGATACAGCGAAGGACGTATGGGATTTGCTTGCAACAAGGTATACTACTTGTGATTTATCTAGTTAGTATCAATTGTGGGAAGAATTACATAATCTGAAATAGGAATGTGGTGAGTCTATCACTAGTTTTTATGCCAAGATGGAAGCATACTGGGGTTGCTCTAGAATATTGGTGTTCATACTATATTAGTATTTTTATATTTTAATTAATTATATATAATTAAGCTAGTTCATTTTAGTATGTTTACATTTTAATTAATTATATATAATTAAGCTAGTTGATTTGTTTCTAAGAATATTTTGTTGTATAGACCTAATTTATTTTTAGTACTAAGGGCCTCATTTAATATAATGGTTTGAGAATAATGGTTAGCAATTTTATTCAAACTATTAAGGTAAAGTATTTGATAAACTTGTTTATTTTGAAATTACTATAAATTAAATGTTTAGTAAAAATTTTTATTTAGTAGTTTGGAATTAACAATTAGTGCGGTTAGATTCCAAACTGATAGAAAAAAAAAAGTGTTTTTGTACCAAATTGTTAGTGAATTAGAATTTTTAATTTTATTGACGAATTTATCCATTTACTTTTTTATTTTTTACTATAATTTTTAATTCATACTTATTTCATTAGTTTCAATTTCATTTTTTCTCTTTAATAATATTAAGTTATTATTACATTTTTATTTTATTAGATTAATTTATAATAAAAAAATTACATTCACTTAATAAATAAAATTCACTAATTAGATAAAATGATTAAAATTTTGTTTTTATCTAAAAATAAT